ACCATCTTGTTATCATACTTGCTATTGCAGTAGTCTATAACAGTCCATGCCAGATTCAAGACTAGTTAGAATGACTATACCACAAATATGACTAGTTGATATGTACCATCTTGTTATCATGCTTCATATTGCAGTAGCCTATAACATTCCATAACTGAAATAAGACAAGTTGTCATATACCATCTTGTCACAACATACATATAAAATGTAATTAACACTATTAGAGCCCAGTCTTCTGTTTCGATATATGATTGCATCACATTTCCCAACGTTCTTCATCATCATCTTAAGAAGTTTCGAATCAAATATATCGCACGCTGCTTCCAGACTCACAGTGTCATCCTTGCCAACTTGCTAAACTCTTCAGTTCATCCTCCACCAAAGATGCTTCTTTTTTTCCATTGAAACATCTTTTCAACGTGTGTGAAGTCTTTTCTGAAGAATGATCTTCGACGTGTTTCCCCTGCAAAAACCCGTCTCTGTATATTTATCCTACCTGAAATTATTATACTTTTATCACATCTTACTTACCTTTAGTCTCCCGCTGGGACAGCAGTAAGTTTATGAAGTTATAAAGCCAAAATCTGGGGGTGCGATTCCCCGTAGTGGACACAACCGATAGCTCAATGTAGCTTTACACTAAAACACAAACAAACAAGCACTAACTTTTATCACTGATTAAATCAAGTTTTCAACATGATTATACTTGTAATAATACAATGATATTAGGCTTATTATATTTCAAACACTATATTATTTTTCCAATCCTTTGGGGATTTTCAAGACTTAGAAGAGTGTATTATAGTAATAGTGTTCCAACCACACTATATCAGTAATCTCCATTACTACGACGCGTTTCACTCATTTCAGAATTGTTCAGGTCGGCTGAGATCAGGTCCGGATTTAGACCTGTGGAGCCCCTTAACCCTGTTTAAACTCATAATATTTTGGAAATAGTAAAAAAGAAGTTATATATACATATTTTATTACACATACTTACAATATAAAAATAAAATTTAAGATTTTCGTTGTTTTGAACTTGTAAATTTATTTAATATATCTGAAAAATCAAGGCCACGAAGTATATCAGTTTCAATACACATTAAAGGAACACAATTCAGTCGTTTTCGAGTCATTGTTGTGTGAAAATCATTTTTGATATACTTCAACTTTGAAAAAGACCTTTCACTTGAACAGTTGGATATCATGAGTGATAAATTAATCACAAGAATAATTTCTACATTTGGAAAGGATGATTTGAGATTTTTCTTATAAATAAGGAGAAACATGAAATGAGCATTACTGACATCACCATGATTATTCCTTTCCTCTAAAAATAATTCCACAACCTTTCTAAATTGAATAAGTCCATTACTGAGACACCCTTCCAGATCAGCAGAATAAAGTTTCAGTAATGTATCTGACATTCCCTGAATTATATTATCAGTTAGAGAAACTAGATCATCCAATAAACCAAAATTTTCAGCCAGATGAGAATAAGCCTCAATTCTGTTTTCAAGACGATCGATGATAAGTATGAAAGTGGAAGTTCTGAAGTGTCTCTTGGACTCTGTTGTACTTCTTTACCTTTGCCATAATCTAGCGGATTTAATCTGACATTACTACGACGAACGCACTGTGGAGGCCTTGAGGCAGTTGCCTCATGGTAAAAATGCGGCACTGGCTGGGGTATACACCAAACACGGTAGTGGTCGAAACACTATTTATATAAGCCATTTGTTACAACAAGGCCTTGATAAAGAATGCAATTTTAAAATATGATAGGTCTAATAATAATGTCTTATGACATGTATAATTATTATTATGCTTCGCCAGCTTGTAAAGGCGTTCACACAATAACAACTGCACCATGACTTTTTTTTTTAACTTTCTACATGATAATACTTATTCCTCCGAGAAAGGTAGTACCTTCTGTTAAACACCTTATCAATTTATGCTCGATGTGTCTTCTGGATCCTCACCATAATACTGTACCTGTAGTAGACTTAAAACTTCATACTTATCCTTCCTAAGTTTGGTTACTTTTAACTCTTGCGTCTGATGACTCCATTGGGTATTCCCTGTATATTCGCCTCCTCCATTTTTTACATCTTGAGCAACTCCCTTTTTTTCACTTCTTTCTATTACTCAGCCATTGTATATGCAACAGTCCGCAATTAATATTGTTACGACAGCGGAAGTCACGCGACTCTGGGAACATGCGCGCTGGGGTTTATAGAAGGATCGTGACTTAGCGTGCAACCTCACGAATGTCCCAAAGTTTTCTAGAAGCCCTCTTTTTACTATATAAGCGGGAGATAGATTGAAGAAAATTAATCGAGTCAAGCGAGCAGTAGGCACCGTAAGTAAATTGTGTGAATCACTGTGAATTATTGCGTGTGTTTATAAAAGTAGTTAAGTTTAAAGTGACTGTGGAAATTCTGTGTATTGCAAAGTTGTATCCAGAAAGAATAAACTAGTTTTAATTAAGAAAGATTTTGGAGAGAGAAAAAAAATCGCTCAGAAAAAACTATCGGGGCAGTTGCCCCATAGCTGGTTACGGCCATGATAGTTACAGTTCTGTGATGCCTAGTTTTGATTTTTGGATTTATCCTTGTCATGGAATACAAATGAAGGATGGAATGCCCCAAAACTAGTATAACTCAGTGACAAGTGGTGAATTGAATGGTAAATTGGGCTTCATTTTGAATATTTTAAACAGCTTGTCTTTTGAATAATAATTTAGAAATATAAATTAAAAGCATCAAAACTACATATTCTTTAACTCCTATGTAAACGTAGATTCACTGTGGTATGTAAAAGACAACTGAAAACACCATAAATATTACGTATTTCACACAACTATGACAGTTTTTTTTTGTAACTTATCCCTGCCCAGTGTTAATAATGAAGGATAGACTTCCCTGAAATAAATCGGTGACAAGTAGTGAATAGAATGGTAAATTGAGCTTTATATATAAATAAAGTTTGCTTTGTGTACCCCTAAATATACCCTAAACGTTTTGTTAATTGCTATAAATAAATTTGCTTGTTTATAACAAATGTGATGAAATTAGGCGAAAACATGTATTATCTTAATAGCATACTATGTATTTTTCTGTTGTATTTATTTGAATTCTATTCAACTCCATTGATTCTACATATAATATTGTTACGTCTCCGTTCATTAGTTAATTTTCCCTAAAAATTCTTTCCGAAGAAACTTTACCGATACAAGTCCTTTCTTAAATAAAACTGGTT